AATGCGCCTGGCATTCCAGAAGAGGAGTAACAGCCATCCTCGAAGGAGCAGTGGGCTAGGAGGGGAGGAAAGAGGGTTCAGATGACAGGCTCATAGGCCTTTGAGTAAGTAAGGACTTTGGTTTTTATGTTTGTGAGATGAGGACACTGAATGGTTTTGAGCAGAGGATTGACATCTAACTTATGTTTTAAATGGATCGCCATGTTGAGAACAGATTGTCAGGAGGCAAGGATGGAAACAGATCATTAGGAAGCTATTGCAGTGATCTGGGGGAGAAAGATGGTGGCTGGGACCAGGAGGGCAGTAGTGAGAATCTGATGTGAAAGGAATCCCAGGATGTTGAGAGTCAAGGACGGCTCCAGTTTTTCTCCTGAGCAAGTGGAAGAAACTACTCATCACTTGAGATGGGGAAGTCTGCCAAGTAGAACAGGTTTGGGGTGCAATACCTGATATTGTTTGGGACATGCTGGGTTGGACGTGTCTACTAGACCTCCCAGGGGAGATGTCAAGGTGAAAGACTTTTTTTTTTTAAGATTTTATTTATTTATTTGTCAGAGAGAGAGAACACAAGCAGGGGGAGCTGCAGGCAGAGGGAGAAGCAGGCTTCCCGCCGAGCAAGGAGCCCGATGCGGGACTCGATCCCAGGACCCCGAGATCATGACCTGAGCTGAAGGCAGACGCTCAACCGACTGAGCCACCCAGGCGTCCCAAGGTGAAAGACTTTTGAGTCTGGAATTCTAGAGAAAGGCCTAGGCTGGAGATTAAAAAATTGAGATGTTATTGGCAGATAGATGATGTATCAAGCCGTGAGCCTAGACGAGGTCATCAAAGGAGTGAATATGATAGAAAAGACAAGAGGACTGCTTTCTGTATTCACTCTAGTATTAAGAATTATTGGAGAGAGGAGGATGAACCAGTGAGGTAGAAGGGAAACCCGGAGAGTATGGTCTCCCCAATGCAAGTGAAGAAAGTGTATCAACCCGGTCAAATGCTACGGAGAGGTTGAGTAAGAGGGGAGTAAGAGGGGAACTGAGAATAACCATTAGATCATTGATGACTTTGACCTTGACAAGAATAGTTTCAGTGGAATCTGCTGGTGAAAGACTGGCTAGAGGGGTTTAAGAAGAGAAAGGGAGGAAAGAAATTGTAGGCAGCTAGTATAGATGGCTATTTTGAGGAATTTTGCTCATGCTTGCAGAGAAATAGGACAGTAGCTGGTGGGGGAAGTAGAGTGGAGAATCTATTTTTTAAAGATGTGGGTTGACTCTTTCTTCAATACCCACAGCTTGTTGGATGCCATTCCAGTCCATTCTACTTGCATAAACTCCCAGATTTACTTCTCCCTAGCCTGGTACCCTTGCACTATCTCAGGCTCTTGTCCTCTTGTGTGCATTGTTACAGTGTAGTCCAGTGTACCCACACTGCCACCAGGGGGTTCAGCCTGAAAACCACTGGCTGCAGTTCTCCCTTGCTGACTCTTTTCCTAAAGGAGGAAAGTTGGGTGCTTGGATGGGGAATGGATGCTATTTGTCGAGCATGAGTCAGGGTCCCAGCAGGAAAGAGAGAACACACTCCAATTAGAATAATGTGAGGAGAATTGAATAAAGGGACTTTGTCTCAAGGGACTGGGCAGAGTGTAGGGAAACCACAAAGGTTAGTGCAGTTTTGAGACTAGCACCTTGCTGGCAGGTGTGTGTGTGTGTGTGTGTGTGTGTGTGTGTGTGTGTGTGTGCGCGCGCGCTGTGTTATCCCTAGGCTTGAAGAGGGTCACTGAAAGGGAGGGAATGGAAGATACCAGTACTGGATGGAAATCTCTGTGAGGCTCAAGAGAATTTTCCCCAAGAACCTGGAAATAGGGTGGCCCCTGAGAGTTAGAAAAACCCACCCAGAACAGATGTGGGAGTAAGTCTAAGATGCTTGGTCTATGACTGTGTCTGAGGTGTTTGGGAACCAACTAAAAGCCATAGGGTGGTGGCTGGACTAGGATCCTGCTTGGGTGAGCAGAAACCCCATCGATTTTATTAAGGGAGCTAATAAAGGTAAAATGTTTATCGCAGTGTGTGGCACTAATGAAGTGGTTGCTGTTGTTAGGCTCAGCTTGGAGAGAGGCTCTGTGAACTGAAGAGAGATCCCAGAGAAGGGGTGTCCCAAAAGTAGCTGGAGGAAACATACTCCAGCTCTGGTTGTAGCAAGAGTAGGATGGCCCGAATCCTTAGAATCAAGGGCTGGCCCTATTGTGGGTGACAAGATCTCTTCCTATCATGGGGTTTCCAGGTTCTGAACTAACCTGATAACTGGGCTTCCTAAGGAGCAGCTCAGACTGCTTTGCGCTGTTGATGCAAAAATTTAGGTGTGCCTGACGAGTTGTATTTCTCTGTGCAATTTAATCCCTGGGCTGGTAACTACACTTACCACCATAAGCATTCAGTAATGTATATAATTGTTGAATCACTATGTTGTACACCCAAAACTAATGTAACTATGTCAACTACAGTGACAAATAAAAATTAAAAAAAAATAATACCTGGCCTTCTGGGGTTTGTATATAAACCTTTATTCAGGTCATATGCCAGCCCTGTATTGGGAATTGGATCTACTCACTGCACCGATGAAATTGGGTTTTGGAGCCAGAGGCCTGCACCCTACACCCCTCAAAACATCAAAGGTGTCCACCTTTAGCAGATCTACTTTGGGCCAATTAGTCTGCAGCAAGTAGGAAGAGTCAGAATGAGGAGGAAGGAAGTTCTAGCTAGAAGGGGTAGGCAAGGCTCCAGGGCATAGCCAGAAGAGGAGTCCCGCTAAAGTCTTGGTCCCACCTTAGGCCCCTCCTCCTCCTGGAAGCCTGCCTTGATCCTTGCTCCACCCATGGGATAGATAGGTGCCCTCCCATGCACATTTCATGGCCCTGGTGACACTGGGTAGGGAGTTACGGGTCTACTTCTGACATACCTGAGCTTCTGGAAGGTTAGGACAATGTCTTATTTATCTTTGTAGCCCAGGGGGCCTGATAACAAAATGATTACTCAGTTAATGTTTCCCTGATTGCATGATTGAATGAGTGAGACAGACACAGTATGATAGATGAATTAAGGACAAGATGGTGGACTATAAACCCAAGAGGGCACAACACCTACTGCCTGTTGTGATGTAATCCCCAGTGCCCGGCGCAGTGCCTGGCAGTCGGTGCCCAGAGTGTCCCGGATGGGCTGACCAAGGGTCAGATCCCCCTTGCCTGTTTGTGCAAGCCTACGCAGACCACCCCTCTCTCCTTGCCACTGACCGCCGGCCGATTAAAATCTAGTCCCTGAGGCGGCACCGGGTCGTGCCTAAGCTTTGTTCCCTGTTGCTACATATGTAGGGTCTTGTCTTTCCCTCTGAGGGAAGTGTCCCAGGGCAGGGGTGCTTCTGGCCCTGTCCGGCTAAGGTACCAGGACCTGAAGCGGCCAGTATCCCAGGCCTCACAGGCTTCTTCCCAGAGGGCGCTGCTGGCACTGGGGCCCCCTCCGGAGAACAATCCCCAGGCTGCGCCACGGCCCAGTTTCATCCAGTCTCGCCAGAGTGGGGGTGGAGGGGTATGGGAATGGGAAGCGGCTGTCTGCGGCTCTCCCAGCACCCTTCTTAAACCCCCTGCCCCGGGTCTCGGCTCTGGCGCCCTCCTCACAAGCCCTCACTTTGCAAACTTTCGGAGTTTTCCTCCACTTGCGTCATGGGAAAGGCAGGAGGGTGACAGAAGCCAGGAGGCGAGGCGGCGGCGGCGCTCAAGCCCCTCGGGTAAGAGGTGTCTCCCCGCGAGGGCGGACGGGCGGGGGGGTCCTGGAGGGTCCCGGTGCCTTCCCTCAAGCCCATCCCGGAGCGCCAGAAGGAAAGCGGCGAGGAGTAGGCGGGGGCCCGGGCTGCAGCGCCCCAGGCCGCGGGAGGGCGGAGCCGGGCAGTCCCTGCCCAGCCAGGACGCACGGAAGTGCTGTGGAGTTTGCCCAATTCCCCAGCCTGCTTTTCCTCCCTCCCTCCCTCTCCCCACCCCTCACCTCCCCCTCGGCTCTTCCCTCCTTTCTCCGGACGCCACCTCCCGGAATCCCTTTTTTCTGTTGTTTTGGAGCTAGCTTCTCGCTGGCGGCGCGGAGGGGCTGCGAGTGCTGGACGAGGAGGCGGGCTGGGCGCACAGCCCGCCACCCACCGGCCGGACACCGTGGGGCCGAGCGGACGACTGACCGCCAGCCGGTCGGGCGCGCCATCTGCTCGCCGGAGCGCACTCTCCAAACTCCTGTTGAGTGTGTGCGTGCACGCCAGGGCAGGGGGTCTGTACGACCTGCGCGCCGGGGCCGGGGACCGCGGGGGTTACCTTTGGATGGGGTCCTTGGACACAGATCAGGGTTAGCTTCAGGCTCAGAAACTGCTGAGGAGCTAGGCAAACAAAAGAGGCCACTCTGCTAGTGGCCAGAAGTCGCCAGAGCGCCTCGTCGCGCCCCCTCCTTCCCTAGGGTGGGGGCTGGCCACTCGGGAGGCAGGGAGAAGCCTCCTGAGCCGGCTGAGGGCTTGGGGGCCCGGGGGCTGGGGGCCGGACCAGACCGGGCTGGGCCGCCGGGGTCGACGGAGTTGGCGGCCTGTTGTGTAAGCCTCAGTCCTTGTTTTCCCCAGCCTCGCTGGCTGGGAAGCCGGACACATCCACCCTTGGACTGGATTCAAGAGGCTGCTGCTTTTCTCCATGCCCCTCTTGGATTTTCTGGATATTTGAAAACCCACTGGCCCAGGAGGAGGAGGAAGGAGCAGATCTGCAGAGGAATGTGAGGGAAGCCAGAAGGAGCTGGGAGCCAGAGCTGCCTGGATTTCTGGAACGGTGGTTTCTGAGTGATTCTCTTCTATTTCAGAACATTGTTCCAGTGGAAAGTGTCAAACAAATTCTTGCCCTTTCAGAGCTGATTTCTCCAAGTCACTTGACTTTTCTTCTGGGAGTGGAAGGAAGGAGAGACTGCCCGTTCTGGGGCTGCCAGGGGAAGGGAGGCAGATTATGGACATGATCCCTCCCTGCTCACAGCAGTGGGCTGGAGACCTAATAATAATAGGGCAGTTAATGGGCCGCGGACATTGCTTTGAGTAGTGGGAGGCTGGATAGCATCTGTGGGTGCTGAGACCCCAGTTTAGGGGCTGAGAGACTTGCGTTGCTGTGACAGGCCTTGAGCTACTAGTGCATTCTCAGTTCTGGGCGGGACCCTGTCTCATCTCTCTCTACAACTGGCCCAGCCATGGCGCTGAAAGGCCGAGCCCTCTATGACTTCCGCAGCGAGAACAAGGAGGAGATCAGCATCCATCAGGATGAGGACCTGGTCATCTTCAGTGAGACCTCGCTGGATGGCTGGCTGCAGGGCCAGAACAGCCGAGGTGAGACAGGGCTCTTCCCTGCCTCTTACGTGGAGATCATCCGGTCTGGTCCCAGCTCCAACCATGCCGACTACTCCAGCAGCCCAGGCTCTCTGGGCACCCAGGTGAGCTCGTATGACGCGGCCAGCCCTTCGAGGAGTGGTGGGGGCAGTGGCTCCCTCTCACACCAGGGCAGCTTCGAGGAGGACGACGACGACGACTGGGATGACTGGGACGATGGATGCACAGTGGTGGAGGAGCCTCGGGCTGGTGGGCTGGGCACCAACGGGCACCCCCCTCTCAACCTCTCCTACCCTGGTGCCTACCCCAGCCAGCACATGGCCTTTCGGCCCAAGCCAGCCCTGGAGCGGCAGGACAGCCTGGCATCTGCCAAGCGTGGCAGTGTGGTGGGGCGCAACCTCAACCGTTTCTCGTGCTTTGTGCGCTCTGGAGTGGAGGCCTTTATCCTGGGTGATGTGCCCATGATGGCCAAGATTGCTGAGACGTACTCCATCGAAATGGGCCCTCGTGGCCCCCAGTGGAAGGCCAACCCCCACCCGTTTGCCTGTTCAGTGGAGGACCCCACCAAACAGACCAAATTCAAGGGCATCAAAAGCTACATCTCCTACAAGCTCACACCTACCCACGCTGGCTCGCCAGTCTACCGGCGCTACAAACACTTTGACTGGCTCTATAACCGCCTGCTGCACAAGTTCACTGTCATCTCGGTGCCCCACCTGCCAGAGAAGCAGGCCACAGGTCGCTTTGAGGAAGACTTTATTGAGAAGCGGAAGCGTCGGCTCATCCTCTGGATGGACCACATGACCAGCCACCCTGTGCTGTCCCAGTATGAGGGCTTCCAGCATTTCCTCAGCTGCCTGGATGACAAGCAGTGGAAGATGGGCAAACGCAGGGCAGAGAAGGATGAGATGGTGGGTGCCAGCTTCCTGCTCACCTTCCAGATCCCCACGGAGCACCAGGACCTGCAGGATGTGGAGGACCGTGTGGACACCTTCAAGGCCTTCAGCAAGAAGATGGACGACAGCGTCCTGCAGCTCAGCACCGTAGCATCCGAGCTGGTGCGCAAGCATGTGGGAGGCTTCCGCAAGGAGTTCCAGAAGCTGGGCAATGCCTTCCAGGCCGTCAGTCATGCTTTCCAGATGGACCCCCCCTTTAGCTCCGAGGCCCTCAACAGTGCCATTTCTCACACGGGCCGTACCTATGAAGCTGTTGGTGAGATGTTCGCTGAGCAGCCCAAGAACGACCTCTTCCAGATGCTCGACACGCTGTCTCTCTACCAGGGCCTGCTCTCAAACTTCCCCGACATCATCCACCTGCAGAAAGGTAAGAGCCAGAGTGGGCAGGAGACCCCTGCTGAGTCTGCGCTCTGCTGGGCACTGGGGATCTGAGGATGGCCTAGGGGAATGGAGCAGGCCATCTAGTCTTTCTGTCTCATTCATTCATTCCACAGTGTGTCGAGCACCTGCTACGGGGCAGGTGCTAGTCTGGGTGCAGGGATATTATTGTAGACAGCTCTGGTCTCTGACCTCATGGAGCTCGCTGTTTACCTTGTGTTGTCCAATTGTTTGCTTGTGCATTCCATATTTTCTGTTTCAGTCTCATTTGCTCATCTATCCATTTTGTGCTGAGCCTAGGTATCAGGTATCAGGCTGATCAAGGTATCAGGCTGAGTCTGGGAACACGGAGATGACTGGGGCCCAGGCCTTGCCCTTGAGGAGTCCACAGACTCGTGGGGGACAGGGACACAGATAACAAGAGCACAGAGTGTGGCCTGTCTTCCCACTCCTCTCAAGCTCCACTCCCTGCCCCTGTGGCTTTAGAGCCTGTTCTTCCCACCGCATATCCTATCTGTGAGCTCCCTGTCTGTGTGCGGGAGGCTCGCTGTCCCCATTTTGCAGATGAAGAAGCTGGTGTGCACAGAAGCCTGGTTGCACAGGGAGTCTGTGGCCCAGCTGAGACTGTCCCTTCCTCCTGCGCCTCCCCGAGGACACGTCCATGTTGGCCAGTTCCCAAGCCCAGCTGTGTTTTCAGTTCTCATGGCCCCCCTCCGTGGGGGAGGGACAGGATGGGCCCTTGTCTGTTACTGTTGGGCCGTCAAGGAACTGCCAGGGAAGTGACTCATCCCAGGTCACCTAGGGGCACCCAGGCTGGTCCAGGGGAGCAACAGGGCTTCAGGGCACTACCCACATGGCCTATCCAACTCCCCCTTCCTGAACCTGGTTTCTCTTGCCTGAGCAGTGAGTCGGGCCGACCTGGCAGGTGGCTGAGTCCTGGGACAACAGGCAGGGCAGATGTCAGGAGAGAGGTGTGGTCCTCCCTGGGGCTGCTTGGTAACTCAGGAAGAACGTCTGCAGGGCGTGGGGCTGGCTCCCTGGCCCCCAGGCCCTGAGGTCAGGCCTGGCTTGGTGCAGAGTTTTCCTCTGGGTGGGGCCCCGAGGCAGACCTCTGGACTGAGCCTGGGGGACAGCAAACACCACCCTCTGCCTCAGTATCCCGGAGAGTCGGGAGTAAGCCAGCCCTGCTCTACTTTACCAGGAGATTGACTTCTAGAACTTCTCCATCTCCCAGGCTCCTTTCTCCCCTCACTTTCTCATTCTCCTTCCTTTCCCTGCCCTTTTTCCTCACCTTCACATTCCTGGCCTCCTTTCCTCTCCTTTCAGCAGCAGGAGACACGAGCCCTGAGTTCTCGTTTTGGCTCTATCCCCACTTTGCTGGGTATTCCTGGGACGTGCCTTCTCCTCTCTGGACCTTAGTTTCCTGATCTAGAAAACAAAGGAGGGTCGAGCCACTGAGCTCTCAGGAGGGGAGACTCCTGGGGAGGATCTGGTCAAGAACAGAGTGATGCCTTAGAGTGGATCTCTGAGCTCTGGGGCAGGGATGTGGCAGAGGGGGCCGGCCGGGGCCCCGTGGGGCAGGTGTCACCCTGGGCGGAAGTAGAGGCATGGTCACTGCTGCGCTCGGGCCTGGGAAAGCTGGTTCAACCAGCTCCTTGGCAAGCATGTTTCTGTGTGGGCAGTGGCTGCGGTCAGTCCCCCAGGGCAGAGCTGGGGGCAGGCAGGAAGGCAGCCCCTTACCCAGCCAGGGCTGCCAGACTGCACTGAAGCAGGAAGAAGGGTCAGAAGCCACACTGGCCTTTCTGACTCTGGGGCAGGGACACAGAGCTGAGAGAGGCCATTTCTGAGTTTTTCTACTTGAGGCCTTTCTGAGAGTGGGGGCCCGGCAGTCCTCTGGGCTGGTGCTTTCAACCTTAGGCAGAGGCTCACCCACCTTCTCTCACCCTGAGGAGCCCTCCACAGTGGACCAACCCATTTGGGCCTACTCTTCCTCCTTCTGGACTGTGGTCGGGCAGGTTAGGGAGGGGGGCTTGGGATCTGGCTGAGATGGAATTGGGCAGGTTTGGGGGATGATGGGGGGAGGAGGAGTTCCATGCTGGCCCGGTGGCTGGGACCCTTTTTCAGAGAAAGGAGCAGGAAAGTTGGGTGTCAGGTCTCCAGAATTCTGTCTGGTCCACCCAGACGTCTGAAAGATGGGAAGCGTGTGGCAGAGGCCATGGAAGGAAGGAGACAGGAGGCTTAGGTGGGGTCAGGAGGCCAGGGTCTGGACAAATATTGCTTCTGAGATGACCGTGAGGGTGTTTTTCTCCCCTCAGTGTCCCCCTTAGTAAAATGGATCGTGGAGTCTGCTTGGCACTGAGTTGAAGCCCACCAGTCTGCCCCCTGGCCCAGCCCCTGGAGTGCAGTCCAGGGGTCTTCTAAGAGAAGAGGAACCATGTTATTAACCATCTAAACCCTGGGCAGTCTGGGGGGGTGAAGGGGGCCCCGGTCATAATTACGCTGGGACAAGGGGAAATAGTGCCTGTGCAGGGCCCCTCCCTGCGAACCAGCCAGGGCAGGGAAGTTACTGTGGTCCCCTGCATTTTCCAGATGAGGCATAGCAAGGTGGGATGATACGCAGAGCAGGAATTGGGGCCCAGGGGTGTCACTGCACAGCCCAGGCTGTTTCCCCTGTGCCAGACAGATGGGGTGAAGGAGCTCCCCAAGGGATGGGTGCGTGGGTAGATGAGCCAGAGGGGGAAGGACGAGGGAGGCTGGGTACTCTAGTACCACTAACTCAGCTGCATGCTTGGTGGGCTGGAAGCAGGCCCAGGACTGCAGAGCGAACGTGGCCATGGGACTCGGGTTGGCCAAGGCAGCATGTCCCCTGCAGGACCTAGTGCTTGTCTGGGGGATGGGTGGGTCCAACCTCTGGGTTCCAGGCCATCATCACCTGGCCGCTTCTAAACCCTCCCCTCCTAGGGTTCCGTAAACAAAGAGAAGCCTCTTGCTACCAGCTACCACCAATTGGTTCTTGCTGTGACTGAAACGCAGTCTGCACACGGTTGCACGTAGCGTCCTGAGCTCTGACTCTGTCGGGTGCTAGCCTAAGTACTTTGTACAGATGAGTTCAGTTAAACCTTAACTACGCTATAGGGCGGGCACAGATATCCCATTTTTCAGATCTGGAAACTCAAAATCACTGTGCCACCGAGAACAGTTGTCAGCAGCATCAGACCTGGTCCAGCCTGTCCCGTTTGACAGCTGGGAGACCTCCAGCCCAGGCAAGAGCAGTGGCTTGCTGGAGGCGACACAGCTGGGACTAGGACTCAGACCTCCTGTCCCTGACCTGGCGGGGGGCGGGTGAGTAATTACCTCGGAGAGGTGGGGGACAGGATGCATTGAGGTGGGAGCTTAAGGAGTATGCCTGGGACCCTGGGGCTCTGAAGCTTCCACCCCCTTTCCTGGTTCCTGGGATCCAGCCCACAGGACACCTGCCAGGGCAGGAGGCTCCCCTAGGTCCTGAGCTCTAGGGTTGAGTCCTACACAGAATGTAGTGGGGATGCCGGACGGGCCTGAGCCCCCGACTCCCAGCCTGTCTCTGGGGTATGTTAGTGTTAGCTGGGCAGCCCCAGATCTGAGTCACAGGGTGGAGAAGTGACAGAGAGCAGGGTAGGACCTCCGACTGCCCCCCCCCCCCACAGCTTTTGTCCCCCGTCCCTGGCCCCCTCCCTGTCTGTGGATACCTAGCAATTTCAATAGATTTGTTTCTATTACTTGGGCCTCTGTCTTCTCATCAACAAAAGGAGGCTTTCCTTCCTCAAAGGCCAGAAAAGCCCTGTGGAATACAGGTCCACCCTCACTGCACCCAGATTTTTTCAGGCAGCTGGAATCCAGGCTAGTTAGTGTCTCGTCTTCAAGTAGGTTCCTTGTCTGTTATCTGGGTCCCCACACAGATGGGGTGACTTGGGTGACCTGGCATGGGCTCTCTGCAGGAGACGTGGTGTCCACCCCCTGCAGCCATGGAGGGGTACCGCTGGGCCCCCTTATATGGGGCGCGAAGGAGGCTGGGAACCCCTAGGCAAGTCCTCCCCAGCAGGGCCTCAGTTTCCTCTGTACAAGGTGGGAGGTGGGCAGCTGGCCTCTAGAATCTCTTTCGCTCTGAAGTGTCTTATTGGGTCCCCGTGCTGGGCCTTGGGCTGAGCCCTCTCCCGCTGCCCACACTGGGGCAGTTGGGATGGAATAGGAGGTGGGAGGCGGCTCAGGGAGGGTGGCAGAAAGACTGGGTTGGGAGCTGGTGACTGCGGAGTTCTTTCGAGTGCTGTGTGAGTGGCCCTGGAGATCTCCAAACTTTTGTCTGTCTGCCCCAGATGCCCCCGTTAGCCAGTAAGCCATGCACTTGCCAGCTTATACGGGTGCTGCTCCTTCTAAAGGCCTCTGTAGTTACTTCCAGCATGTAGAGCCTTGGGCCTGACATAGAGTAAATGACCAAAAAAAGGATCTTGAATGCATTGGACATTTTGAGTGAAGAGTCAAAAGAACACATCTTGGAGGCCCCCAGCGTGCTGTTGGTGCGCATTGGATGCTTCTGAAGTGCTCGGGGGCAGGGGCGGGGGGTTGCTGTCCTGCATACAAAGCCTTCCTGCACCCTTCCTCTGCTTCACACAGTGGATTCCCTGCAGCCCTGGGAGGGGTGAGGGCCAGGCACAGGCAAACTGCCTCCTCCTTCTGGCAACTGGCCCCACGGTGCACATGGTTCAAGTGCACAATTAGTCAAGTGCCTGTTAATTCAGAACTGAAATTCATTCACCAACTGCTTGCTGATTCATTCAGATTCTTCTAAATTGGGTCCCCTGCCCAGGTTTGTCCCCTGTCCCCCATCTGTTACCTGGTTATTACAGGGCCTCCTCTGGTCCCTCTGGCTGGTGTGAGGAGGGGCAGGGCCCGTTTGTGGGGAGACACACACAAAGGAAAATACCAGGTGGCCTTCGAGGTGCTGTTTTAGAATCAATAGTGTGATGGGGGTGGGGAGCGCCCTGGAGAGGGGTCGGGAGGCATTGCACCTAGGGGCACTGCGGGAGGCTCTGGTGTGGAGGTGGTGCCTGAGCCTGATCAGGGGCCTTAAATTATGCAGAAAGATCTAGCAGGCAGAGAGATGTGGAGGTAGGAAAGAGCAGGGTGAGTTTGATGAACATGGGGTCAGTGTGGAATGGGTGCGGAGGCCAACTCCCAGAGGGCCTCCCGGCTAGGCCAACGGGTAGGGACCTTCGTGTGCAGGCAGAGGGGAGCTGGGAGAGGTCTGGAGCTTTGGGTGCCCATCTTGGCTGTTCTTCAGGTACTGTGGAGAACCTCTCAGACGCTGGGCCCAAGGTGGGAGCCCTTTAGGGGCCTGTTGTAGTAGTTCAGCGAGGAACAGATTGAATCAGCTCAGCAGACATGTACCAAGCTCTCCTGGGGGCCAGGCCTGGCCCTGGGTGCTGGAGACATTGAGCTCACAGACCAGAGGGAGACAGGCAGAGTGAGCACAGAGTGGTAAGAGCTGTGGCTGATGGAAGCCCCGGGAACTTTGGGAGGCACCTGATGCCGTGGGGGTGCAGGGAAGGCTTTCTGGAGGAGGTGATGTCTGAGTCAATTAGGAGCCAGTGTGAGAGGCAATCGATGCCTGTGTTGGGTAAGGACAGCCCTGTCCTGGAACTTGATACAGCCAGCAGGGTTGTGACAGGCTGGGTGCCGTGGGCTGCTGACAGTGCCCCAGGTTCGGAGGGAAGGTGTGCCAATGGTGAGGGCTTGGGGGCGGTCCTGAGGGAGACGCCCAGGTGGCTGTCCCTGAGGGGACTCGTGGAGGGCATAGGGAGCAAAGGGGGGAGACCAGAGCCCTAATTCCCTTGTCCTCCTCCACTGTGCCCGTGCCAGGCGCCTTCGCAAAGGTGAAGGAGAGCCAACGCATGAGTGACGAGGGCCGCATGGAGCAGGATGAGGCAGATGGCATTCGTAGGCGCTGCCGCGTGGTGGGCTTCGCCCTGCAGGCCGAAATGAACCACTTCCACCAGCGCCGCGAACTCGACTTCAAGCACATGATGCAGAACTACCTGCGCCAGCAGATCCTCTTCTACCAGCGGGTAGGCCAGCAGCTGGAGAAGACGCTGCGCATGTATGACAGCCTTTGATCATGTGTCCCCGGCCCCCACCCTGTGCCTGGGCCTGGTCGCTGCAGTGCGCTCTGCTCTCTAGACCTACCTGCACCAGTAGTGGCTGGGAGGGTTGGGGCGGGCTTTGGAGGAGTCATGGGTCCCCCTGGGGAAGACCCCCAGCTCTTAGAGGTAGGGGTACAGCAGGGGTGAGATTTGGGGTCAGGAATCTTCTAGGCCGAGGCCTGGGCTACGGGTCAGTCGCTTGAGGTCAGGCCATGGTCTTAGCTTCCCCTAGAATCTACAGAGCTCACTCACCTGGCCACCACCCCCACGTTCATTCAGTAGGCACCTGCTGTGGCCCCGTGTCAGATGCTGGCTGGGTCCCAGGGCTGCGACATGCCTGCCCTCAGGGAGTCCCCAGTTGAGGTGGGGTCAGACACAGAAACAGACAAGGGCACCGGAGGGTGACTGATGGTAAATAAGGGCTTCCTGGAAGCTTAAAGAAAGAACCACTCATTCTGCTGGTCAGGGAAGGCTCCATAGAACAGGTGACATTTGAGCAGTGTTTTGGAGAATGACAAGGACCTGCCAGACAGGAGATGGGGCCAGGGGTGGGGGGCACATTCAGAAGAGACGAATAGCATGGGCAAAGGTGAGAAGACGTGAAAACGCCCCATCTTCTCTCCCTTACTTTTCCCAAATGATTTGGTGCCCCCTTGGTGGGGATTTTGGCCTGTGTGACAGAGGGGAGGGCTCTTCCTCCCATGTCCCTGTCCCTGCCTCACCTTGTCCCCTCAGGAGGAGCTGCAGGCCAGCTCCCTCCTGACTCCCCTTCACCTGCTGAGCCTCCATTACCCCTTGGTTAGGGGACCATGCAGCATCTTTTCCCTGGGCTCGAGGTACAGAGACAAGCCACTGACCCCAGGACCTTGGTGGCACCTTCCTGGAGAGGACACCCAGAAGTTACCAGGTATTTGAGTTCACCAGCAATGGCTCTTCACATTCTGAGCAGGCTCGGGCCCCAGTGAATCCCAGAATCCTTCCTATTGCACAGAGGGAAGGCCAAGGGGAAGAAAGATGGGGGCGGGCTTGCCCACTGCCCCAGAAGTCCTGGGCCCACATGCTCATGGCCAGCCTCACTGTGATGCCAGCCCCAGCTCCCTCCCCAGCCAGGTTGTGCTGTCTCCCACCCATGTTTACATCCTCAGGGGGGCTACTCCCTCCGCCTAGGCCAGGGTGTGGGCCAGTGGGTTGGGGGAACTGACAGGTGCCACTGCTGGCCTCCCCAGGAGGTCATGGCCACTCCTGGCTCCTGCTGCCTGAGTCTTTTTTCTTTCTTATTTTCTTGATAAACCTTTTGCAATGAAGACAACAAAGGCATGGCTTTTTTTTTTGTTTGGATCCCAAAGGGATTGAGGGTGGGGGAAGGATGAAACCCTAAGTGTCCCTGGGAGCTCTTAGACTGTGAGGTCATGGTGGGCACAAAACCTCTAAAGCTGGGGGGAGGACTGTGCTGATGGCAGGTGCTAGCTGGGAGCTAGAGGTGGATGTGGACCCCAGCTGGACACACATCCTTCCCAGACCTCACTCTCCCCATTTCTCAAATGGGTGGAGTCCTGCTGGGGTTAGGCTGTGCTGCTCAGTGATCTAGGGCTGAGCTTGCATGAGTGAGGGAGAGGATACCGGCTCCGGGACAGTCTAATTGATGGGGTTCTTCTCCCCAGGGAGGCATGCCCCAGCCTGGCCCCCAGGAAAGCCCTGGTCCAGGAGAGGTTGGGGGGGAACTCGGAAACCGTGTCCTTCCCCAAGCAGTCCAGGGCACCCAGTCCTGTGGTGGCTTCTGTGTTGGGAACTGAGGAGAACTGCCCCCGCCCCCCCAGCTGGGCCCTCAGCGGTGTCCCAGTTAGGATGAGCAGGAATCAGTTTCCATGTGGGAAGGAGGGGTGCTAGTCAAACCACAGTTCTCTTTTGGGGCAAGGGGGACTTGGTGGGAGGATAGGGCTGACAGGGTCTGGGCCTCGGGGGGCTTTGACCAGGCCAGGGGCCCAGGGAGCTTATAGTAGTGAGAGGGGTAAGGAATGGTGGGTGCGGTGGGGAAGGGGCAGCAAAGGCTCCTCATTCAGGGCAGAGCTTCCTCAGAGGAACTTCTGGAATGGGCCCCTGGCCCTGGGTCAAAATTAGGTCAGATTTGGGACTTTCTGTGGAATTTTCCCCTCCCTCCTCCCTGCCCTCCTTCCTTCATTTTCCAACCCACCCAAGGACCTTCCCTCCTTAACCTCTTCACAGCTTTGACCTCCAGGCCGCCTTTGTAGATGGTACTCTTGAGCACAGTGGGGGAGGCTCCTTACTGAGGTCAGTCTGGGGAGGGGTGGTGGAAACGCCTTTCTTAACCCACAGTGCCTGGAAAGTCCCCTGTTTATGCTTCCTGCCCTGGGAATAGTATTACTCTCTTGTGTCCCATCCTTAGCGTGAGGGAGGCGGTCTGACACTTTACTCAGGAAGGCTTGGACCTGGGAGAAGAGTCCAGAAGTGAAGTGTTGGGACGGGCCAGGTCTACTGTGGGCATCCTGAGATAGCTAGGCTGGGGCAGGTTTCTATGTAATGGGGAGTGAGGATGTCACAGCCATTCCCTCAGGTTTCTTTCTCTCTGTGGGTTGGGGTATTGCGGGGGGGTAGTTTGAGATCGGTCTGGGTTGACCGGAGCCCCTCAAAGAAGGGCCCTGGGGGACCAGTTGGGGGAGGCGTGGGAGCATCCTGGTGGTGGCAGGGCCTGCTGCCTGGCCTCAGTCACTTGCCAGGCAGATGTTCCAGACAGAGCTGGGCCTGGCTACCTCCAATACCCTCCCTCACTTTGCTGTGAGGGGGGTGGAAAACAAGGCCCCTCTTTCTGCCCTGGGCAGCTGTCAGGACATGGGGGTGGGGGGGATCTGAATCTCTGATCCCCAGTCTTGGTCCAGCCCACGAAAGGAGTCGGCATTGTGGCCACATGTGGGGGTTGGGGATGGAGGCGGCTCTCAGATCCTGCATCTGTTGCCTCCTGGACACACAAGAGGGCCACGAACCACCATGCCACAGCTCTGCCACGGCTGTGCCACGCCTGGAGGGGAGGCAGGCAGATGGGTGGCTCCAGAGCCCTCTCAGCACCTCTCCTCCATCCCATGGCACCGCCACGCTCTCATCCACACGTCCACGAAGTCACAAGTGGAGCTGCCCAAGCCCAAGCAGCCACAGCCACATGCAGCCACACACCCTGCCCATGGGGACATGGGCCAGCTCTGGCCGTCCGCACACAGATGCACAGTCACGTGCTCGCACAGGGGCACTGCCAGCCACGGCGCCAGCCACGGCACATGTTCACGGCCATGGCTGCACACGCATCATCTCTTCCCAGCACCGGTCACATCGTGTCCCCAAGCATAGCCGTACTGCAGTCCTACCTGCACAGAGCGACACACTCAGACACACGGCCACAAGTCACACACGCTCAGAGCAAAGGTGTCACGTGTGTCGCTGCTTCTAGACTGCACCCGCGCCACCTCATGGGGGAGCCAGTGGCATCACCTGTCATCTGACACTGGCGCTGTCCAGATGGGGAACCCGAGGTCTGGTGAGGGGTGGCAGCTGGTTGTGTCACCCCGTGCCACCGGCCCGAGGGTGTTCAAGGGCTTGAGCCTAGCCCCGGGTAGCTCTGCGGCCAGTCCCCAGGGCCAGTCCCTCCTGCCTCATAGGCCCCTGGCTGAACCCACCCAACAAAGCGCCAGGCCTCTCCTATCTGTCCAGCCAGAGCTGAGCTGCGGCCTCAGCGTGCGTGTGAGCCGGGGCCGGGATGGCCCAGGCCTGGGCGGGAGGAACATTCCTGCACCATCTCCTCCCCAAGCATGCGAGGACTGGGCCCGCCCTGCCTGCCTGCCCGCTGACTCAGGCCTCCAGGAGCCAAGCCCGCTTGTCCCCCACCCCCCCAACCTGCTTCCCTTCCAGTTCAGCTCCAGTAGGGCTCCGTGGGCTGGGGTAGGAGACGAGGAGCCCTGGCAAAAACCACAGAGAGAAATGAAAATTCACCTCCCCCAGACGGCACTCAGCAGAGCTGATTGTGAAACCCAGTCCCAGGTTTCAGGATAGTTTAGCGCAAACCTTTTTTCCTTTGGTTTTGTTTTGTTAGTCAAACCCCAGTGCAGTCCGGGCTGTTGAAAAAGCAAGTCTCACATAGCTGTGACCTCCTTGGTCCTCACAGCAGCCCTGGTAGGCGGCATTGTTCCATTTCACAGACGAAGGGACTGAGGCTTGGCTAGAGCGAGGATGGGCCCAGCCTGGGATCGCACAGTGAGACCCAGGTGGAGCTGGACTCGAACCCAGTTCCCTGACGTCTTTCCTCAAAGTCTTGATTGACTCACTTAGGTCTGAAGGAAAAGGTTCTGGCAGAGCTCCACTCCAGGGGTGAAAGAACGGGAGGCTGGCAGACCCAACTGCTGAAATGTGAAGGGGCTGGCGGGTAGGGTGAGTCCCGCCGGTGCCCAGGGACGAAGAGGCTCAGCACAGCCCTGCACAGTGGCCACGGCCTTGACCCAGGATCTCCCCTTACACATGAACGTGTGTGAGGAGTATCGCCTCATTTCTCTGCAACTGACCAGAATTTCTTTGTTGCATTCTCATTCCCTGACATGGTAGAAAAGGAATCTCAAATCAATTTGGGGACCCCTCCTTTCAAAGATTTGGGGATGGCACATTGGAAGACGGTGGGCAGGCCTCTGGCACTTTGAATTTTAGAGGCTGAATCCCACACCCTATCACACACATGAAAATTTGCCTGCCTTCCACATTAAAGGTCATTCATATACACCTGTTTCAGTTGGGTTCAGTTTATTACTTGGCAATGCCTTGTCTTACAGATGTTTATTTGAACTTTATTAATTTTGGTTTTGTCTTTTCCTTTTTGTGTCCTACTTTTTTTTTTTTTTCCTGCTAACGTTGTTGTCGGTTCTTGCAGACTCCTGGACCATGGCGCTGGGCCTGTAGTGCCCACCGTGGTCCTAGGTTAGCATTGGATCCTCTGGTCATCTGCCCGCCCCCCCCACCGCCCCGTCTTCCTACCACCTGCTCCTTTGATCCCCATCCTGAGGCCTCTGTGGGTCTGGCCTTTCGCCTGTTTTGAGCACTTAGGGCTCCCTCCCTCCCTTGTATACCTGTGGACCTCAAGGAACCTCAGGGGGTTGGCAAAAGTCCCTTCTGTGACCTGTG